TATATATATATATATATATATATATATATACTATGTAAACAAAAACTTTTATTTTGGATGTGATTAATCGCGATTAATCATTTGACAGCATTACTGAATATCTGAAGGTTGGACATGAACTTTTCCAGTTTCCAACTTTTATCAAGCCTAGCTATTTATTTATTTATTCCTCATTTGAAGCACTCATTGTTTATCTTGTAAATACAAGTTTGGGCTGAACAGAGGGTTTCTGTACCTGACACGAGTCCTTGCCTCCTTCCAGTAGACCAGCACAGATCATGTTGTCTGTTATATTTCCAACTCCATAGAGACAGTTGCACTGTCTGTTACCAATTACATGAACCTCCACTTCCTGTAGAACTTTAGGGGATGGAAGGGGCACTATAGGAAATACATAAGTTGTTATTTACTCTGCATAGTCATTGACTATCATGAGAAATTCATAATCCCATTTACATATTGATTTTAATGTAACTAAGAGGTGACAGGAATGAATTCTCACCTCCTTCGCTAATGTTTCCCCATCCAGTGATCCAGCTGTCTGTGCCGCTGTTGAACACACTGCTATGAGCTGCTAGACACACGGGTCTGATGTAGTCAGTGAAGGTGATGGGTGACCTCAGTTTGAGAAGAGCGATATCGTTGTCATTCGTAAAATTGTAATCGGGATGTTTGATGATTAACCTCACATATCTGAATACTTGATTGGGGTTGAAGCCTTCCTGGGTCTGTTGCCCCAAAACTACAGTGAAATCAATGGTGGGATACCTGAGGAAGAAGAAAAAAGTAAGAATCAAGAAGAGTTTGAACTCTTATTACTCTTATTATTTATTTATTATTATTACTTTAATTCAGCAATTTATTGAACCTTTAGAAAAAATATATAAAAAAATTGCAGATGTTTTGAATCATATTTGATGCATCTGGCTTATACATTTATGGCTCATATTGTGAGAATATGGAGCTCACATTCAAGGAGGAAAACACCTCAGTTTTAATCAGAAGCCCAAAATGAGTAAAAATATGTCATTTTGTTAGTCAGAATATATTGTCAGAAATTAGGATGTAATGCACATAAACCAGTGAGATATTTAAAACCGTATAATATTAATATAGTATATTTCAATGTTTTATGATTCTTCAAAACATATAATGCAATGCAATACAATGATGATTGAGAGATGAACAAATAAACTCTACTGAAAAGCCTGATGAATCATATTTGATAAATTTTAATATGGAAAAAAAACTATGCTTGGATAATCAAGTAAACCTAGGTTACTTTAGTCAAGTAAGTGTTCATCTTGAAATACTAATAATATAAACAAATTTTTTTTTTACATTTACTTACAAAAATTAGTAAAGATTTCATAACAAATAAACACAATGAACCACAACCTGATAGTGGATTTTTTTTTTTTTTTTTTAAAGAACTTTTACTTGCTTAAAAAGTCAATCAGGCGACAGAAGACATATAGTAGATTGTGTGCAATAGGTTTTTCAGGTTTTGATCATGTTGATAATTAAGAGGCCATAGAAATAAGCGTATCAAATATGTTACTGTAGGCTTTATAGGGTTTAATAAATTCCTCAATTAAAATGTAAGCTACTCAAAGCATCAATGAACGTTGAGGTATTAATTTGCGAGTAGTTGAATGAGATTACCCATGAACGCAGTGGGCAGCAGACAGCACCCACTCTTTGTTGATAAGAGAACCTCCACAGATGTGCCTGCCTAACCGAAGAAGACTAGCCTGCCAGGGCCAGCGCCCAGCTGAAGCATTCTGACCTCCTACTATCCTGCTGCTGGTGGTAACTGATGTTCTTCCACATATCAGAGCACTAGAAACATCATCTGAGGAAGCTAACACAAAATACAATGATTTAGGCTATTACCCAAGAACTTCTACTACTACAGAGGGCTTCATGCATCTATTTATTTATTTAATTATTATTTTTTTTTAGGAGGAGGAGGACCCAAGTTTAGTTCCTGATTCAAAATGTACAGTTTTTGTAATAACTCATGCAAAATAATCTAACAAGCATGATGAAAAAAGTCATCCTTTCCAATCACACATAACATAAAATATTTTTAATTCCTGAACTTGTGTTGCTGTTTTCAGGCGGCCAAGCAAAATACATATTTTCATAGCTGATTGTTAAACTTGTGTATATACAGTGTTGGGGGTAATGCATTACAAGTAACACGAGTTACATAATCAGGTTACTTTTTAAAAGTAACTAGTAAAATATCACATTACTTTTTAATTTCCAAGAAAATATCTGAGTTACTTTTTCCCATTAAGTTTTCCCATTTTTTTGACTGACAGCTCTCCTGTCCCCATGTTGAGAGAAATTGGGGGTAAGTACAGAGGAGTTGTGTGCACAGTGTAAACTGTAGTTCTAGACTAAATGTGAATATGCATTCACTCATCTCACTTGCACAAAAACAGATCCAGTATTTCTCAAAATGAATAAAAACAGTGAAATACAAACTCAGAATATGATGCAAACCTGTGATAATGAAATATAACACAAATATCTTTGATGTATTTAATCCCATTTTCTTAACAAATGTTTAATTTTTTACTGCTGAATTTGCCAAAAATTGAACTTATTCATATTAAAAACAAACAAGCAAACCCAGCCCAATTGAGAAATAGTAACACAAAAGTAATGTAATAAATTACGTTCTATAAATAGTAATGCAATTAGTTTAGGGAGTAACATTTTTTTAGGGAGTAACACAATATTGCAATGCATTACTTTTAAAAATAACTTTCTTCAACACTGTACAGTAGGTGGGTGTGTATAATATATATATATATATATATATATATATAATACATCACTCATGAATCTCTCAATCTCTTATTGTTTTTGATACATATATTAAGTGACTTATAAGTTGATCTGACTGATAAGTCATGTCAATTCAAAAGATTCACAATAGTGAATCTGATTTTTCAGTATGGATATATTTCACCTACAATAATCATCAAAATTATTAAAGGTAAAAATATTTTTTTGCTATATATGAAATTGCATTCAAAATTTAACTGACTCAAAAACCTGATGGTACATGAGCCAATTTGAATCTACATGCTGCTACAGACATATTATTTGCACAATTATTTCATCGAAAACAAAGATATCAATTATTTTACTATATTATGTATAACTAGAAACCAAATTGTTGATGCCATATTAATGTACCTTGGGGATTAATTTTGCTACAGAATCCTGCAAAACAAAACAGAGGCAAATGTTACATACATATCTACCTTAAAGGCTTAGTTACAACTCTGTTGTAAGAAACAAAAGCATATGTTTTGAGAAAAATAAATAATGAAATTAGGATATCACTTTAGATTAGGGAACACTATTCACTATTAACTAGGTGCTTATTAGCATGCATATTACTAGCATATTGGCTGTTTATTAGTACTTATAAAGCACATATTAATGCCTTGTTCTGCATGATCATATTCTAGATCCCTGAACCCTACCCCCATTCCTCAACATAACTACTGCAACTACCTTACTTACTATCAATAAGCAGTAATTAGGAGTTTATTAAGGAAACATCTTAGTTAATAGTGAATATGTGTTCCCCAATCTAAAGTGTAACCAAATTGAGATGTAAATGACACATTACACGAATAAACATATATACCATTGTTTTCTGATGAATTATCAACTCGAAATGTCCATCTACCCATGACATTGACATTGCTTGTGTATGACAGATTTGCAATGTCAGAAACAGGAATTGAAAAGAAATTAGTAGAGTTAATCGTGTCAAAGCCGGACTGTTAACGAAGAAAACACACACACACACACACACACACACACACACACACACACACACACACACACACACACACACAAAATCCCATTAAATCCAAAAACACTGCTATAGATGATAAACTGGGGTAACACAATATTTTTGACACATTTTTTCACATTGCTTTACCTCAACGCTTTGGGTGGAAGTGATATAATCATAATGCATGAGTGTAAATGACATGTTTTTGCCAGACACCAAAACCACTTGGAAGGTTGACTCCTGGAAGAGACCGGGAATTCTTCATTAATACAAGCATCATTCTGGATATTCCATCAAGTTCAGTTCAATGAAAATACTATGCAACAAAAGTTAACATGCTAACTGAAAGAGAAACTTACTGCCTCAGTGTTTTCAAAATATGGTACTTTATCCCATGTAGCAATAAAAACCCAAGTGGCAGAGAATTTCAAGTTCGGAAAATATTTGTTTATGTCTCTTGAAGCTCGATTCAAGAGATGAGCATCTGTTACTTGTCGGTAAGAGATGGTTCCTTTCTCAGAATTATAAATGTCTGTCCACAGTGGAGCGATGATGTGTCTATTCAAGTATGCAGGAAAATAATAGGGATTATACCCGTAAAATGGCTCATCAAAGGTCAGGTCTCCATTATTATTCACCTGTAAGATCAAAACCAGTTGTCAGTATTTTCAAGTAACATCAATTATGTGGAATATATATTAATGTCATGAATATCACAATGCTTCTTACAAATATTTGGTCATATTCACGTCCAAAGTACACAAATTGTTGCAGAAGAGGAATCCGTGGAGAACTTCCATCATCTGACCTCGGGCTCATCTCATCCTCTACACCTCCATATGGGTAGAATATCCCTGATATTCCCAATAATATTATTATGAGTTTTTAAAGATTTTAAGGAGGACATTTTATAAGCATCCAAATGACTACATTTTTCTTTAATGTAATATTACAATATTGCTTTTCAGCCTGAAATTAAGACGGACACAGTTGTTGTTTTATCCAGCTGTATTTACTCAGTGCAACTTATAACATCCAAGTGAAAGATAGAACACCAACATGTCAGAAAAAATAAAAATAAACACAATCACTGATTTGGAAAATGGATCACCCCCTTGTGTCAGTATTTTGTTGAACCACCTTTTGCTATAATTACAGACTTTCGTCTGTTGGGATTTGTCTCTACTAACTTTGCACATCTAGACTTTGCAATATTTGCCCACTCTTCTTTGCAGAACTGCTCAAGTTCAGTTCAATTTGATGGTGAGCGTTTGTGGACTGCAGTCTTCAAGTCATTCCTCAGATTTTCAGTGGGGTTAAAGTCTGGGCTCTGACTAGGTCATGTGGGTTCACCTTTTTCTCTTTCAACCACTGTGTGCTCAGTTTTGCTGTGTGCTTTGGGTCATTGTCATGTTGGAAGGTAAACCTTCTTCCCATTGACAACTTTCAGCAGATTTTCCTCAAGAATTTGACAGTATTTTGCCCCTTCCATTTTCCTTACTATCCTGACAAATGCTCCAGTCCCTGCTGCAGAGAAACACCCCCATAACAGGATATCACCACCTCCATGCTTTACTGTAGGAATGCTGTTATTATTGATGGTGAGCTGTATTGGATTTTCGTCATTTTTAGCAGGGGGTGATCCTTTATCCAACTCAGTCATTCTTTTTTTTTATTTATTTTTAAAAAAAATTTCCTGACATGTTGGTGTTCTATCTTTCACTTCAGGATATCACCACCTCCATGCTTTACTGTAGGAATGCTGTTATTATTGATGGTGAGCTGTATTGGATTTTCGTCATTTTTAGCAGGGGGTGATCCTTTATCCAACTCAGTCATTCTTTTTTTTTATTTATTTTTAATTTTTTTTTCCTGACATGTTGGTGTTATATGTTGTAATGGATGTTATAAGTTGCACTGAGTAAATACAGCTGGATAAAACAAAAACTGTGTCCGTCTTCATTTCAGGCTGCAAAGCAACAAAATGTGATTATTTTAAAGCGGGGTGATTATTTTCTATACCCACTATATTTATCAAATAATGTGATATTGTCTATATTAAGCAGTGACTTTACCCTCCTCAGGTCCACCATCAACACGAAATACCCAGCGTCCCGGCACATTGACATTGCTGGAGCTAAATAGCTTATTTTCATCAGTCACAGGGATTGAAAAATAATTTGTTGAGTTTATTGTGTCATAACCAGCCTGCAGGTAAATTTAAAAAAAAATAACAAATCTAATTAATTTAATGAATGAAATGTATATGACCAGATAATATGATGATGTTTGGAACATTTTTTTTCAACTAATTCCACTAAACACATTTAGGGTTCCATTAATTTAATTTGAATCTCAAAATTTTGTAGCAAGATTCTTATTCTGTCCAACCTGAAAACTTTGGTCAGTTGAGGAGATATTTCCGTAGTTCATTATGACAAAGGAAAGAGTTCTGAAGATAACTAGAACAACTTGGAAGGAGGATTCCTAGGAAAAATGGTTTCAATGGGGAAAAAAAGCTATAAATGATCTATTAACAAATCTCATTCAAGCTAAATGTATGCAATCCTTTTAGTGATTATTAAGTGATATTATCAAGCACGGAAAACTCATTTTCAATCTCTGCCTAGATTTATACTAAACTTAGGTTGAAGAAGATTATGTAACCTTTCAATCTACATACCGTTGTGGGGCTGTTCAAGTACGGCACTCTATTCCAAGTAGCAATGAAGACTGTATGTATTGAGAATCCAAACTGAGGGAAATACTGTTTGATATCATTTCTTGCCCGGTCCAGAATACGGCCTCGAGTTACTACACGGTAGGAGATGTTTCCACTGACGCTACAGTCAAACTTTCCCCAGAGTGGAGCTATAATGTCTCTATTAGAGTTGGCAGGGAAAGCCTTGGGGAGTCTTTCATAAAATGGTTCAAACGTCAAAAGTCCATTATTGTCAACCTATAGTGAAGATTTGAACATTTAACTGAAGCAACATGAACTGTAAAACTGTATATCAGTGTATTTCAAATGTACCATGTTTAGCATAACATCTCACATATATATTGTGGTATTTGCGTCCAAAGTACAAGAAAGGATATTGCAAGTGCCAAGCTGGTGAGCTTGCATTACTTTGACAGGGATTCTGAGTGTTTTGATTACCAGCTGGATAAAACAGACCTGGAAAAACATGTTGTTGCATGTTATGGCCTTGGTACAGTACAAAGAAAGATTAAAAAGTTAATTAAAGTGAGTCGAAGAAAGAAAAGAATCTGTAAAAAAAAAAAATAAAAAAAACAAGTCTGCATTTCTAATTTTCTTTTAGTTTGACTTGATGTACAACCGTAAGTTAAAAAAAAAAAAATAAAAAAAAAATAATAATATATATATATATATATATATATATATATATTACCATGTTCTTTTGGCAAAGTGTCGATACGAAAAGCCCAACGGCCCTTAACATTGATATTTGTGGAGTGGGTCAGGTTAGCGACGTTAGACACAGGAACTGTATAATAACTGGTTGAATCATCAGTGTCATATCCAGCCTAAATAATGATTACAAACATTTTGGTTACAGATCTGTGGATAAGAGGAGCTATAGCTATTTTGAATATTTAAAATAAATGTAAAATATTTGAAAACATTTCTCACCAGTGCAATATGTTTAGTTTGGGGAATACTGCCATAATTAAATACAATAAATGACAATCCAGAACCAGAGATCAGCAGTACTTGAAAAGAGGAATTCTGAAGAAGAAAAACAACACAAACATCAAATTATCAGTCAAAAGACAACTGAAAACAAACAACGTAATTAATCTTACCTGTGCTGAAGTGCCGAAATATTTCACATTACCCCAAGTACAAATAAAAACTGAGTTTGCACTAAAATTTGTATTAGGAAAATATTGACGTATATCATTTGTAACTCGCTGTAGTACTCGGACACCCTTGAATTCTTGAACGTAAACGTCACTGTTATCAATATCTGTCCATAGTGGAGCAACAATGTCTATAATTGCTGGAAGAGTTGGGGGACTTGAAGGAAACAGTGGCCAGCTGAAAGTAAGAAATCCATTTTGGTAAACCTAAAAGGGGTTTGAAGTAACAGATATTACATGCTGACAAATACTTTTAATGGCTAATATAAGTAATAAATTGATTTAAAAAAATGCAGTTGCATTAATGAGTGTCCTCACATAAACAGAACTGTATGTGAGCCCGAAGTAAGAAAATGGTGTCTGCAAAGAAAGCTTCAATAAGCCATAAACCTCTCTTGCCAGGTTTAGTTTGTGCCCATTCCTAAATGGATAGAACAGTCCTGCAAGCATACAAGTTTATTTTTCAGCACACTTATAAATTTTAATTCATTTGTAACTCTCAACATTTCACTACATATTCAGCACACTTATGATTTGAATTCATTTGTAATTCTCAACATTTCACTACATATGAATGGTCTAATGAATTGTTACATGTTTCAAATGATAAACAACTATTATTAAGATATGCAAAAAAAATGCCATGCATGTTTAATTATTAAATTACTGTACCGTTGTTGTCTGATGCATAGTCAACTCGAAATACCCATCGACCCGTGACGTTGACATTGCTTGTGTATGAAAGGTATGTAACGTCAGAGACAGGAATGGAAAAGAAATCAGTTGAATCACTTGTGTCATAGCCGGACTGTCAATCAAAACACAAGACGACGAAAAGTTTAGTTACAATCAAACACTTATCACATAGTGGTAAAAAAAAGATATTTTGATTTCAGTGTATTTTTCAAATCACTTACGCTAACAAAATATGCTGGGCCGATATGACCATAATGCATAAGTGTAAATGACATGTTTTTGCCAGACACCAAAACCACTTGGAAGGTTGACTTCAGGAAGATAAAGGGAATAACTACATAAATACAGAGAACATGGGATATTGTTTCTTAATCAAATTTCTATGCGAGAAGAAGACTTACTTTCTGTCTGTATATATAGTTTGGTACTTTATCCCACGTAGCAATGAAAACCCATGAAGCAGAGAAGTTCAAGTTTGGATAATATTGGTTTATATCTTTTGATGCCCGATTCAAGAGATGAGAATCTGTTACTAGTCGGTAAGAGATGGTTCCTTTATTTGTAATGTCAATGTTTGTCCATAATGGAGCAATGATGTCTCTAGTTGAGTATGCAGGAAAATAATTGGGATACGACTTGGAAAACGGCCCATTAAAAGTCAAATACCCCTTGTTATTCACCTGTTGACAACAAAACAGTGAAAGCTACTCATGATGTTTCAATAAAAACTTAGTGTACAGTGTCATAAATGTGACAACGCTGCTTACGTGTAGTTGATTATAAATAAATCCAAAGTAGACAAACGGCTGTGCCAGAGGGATCAGAGGTGAACTTCCAAAATACTCTGCAGGGTTTTTTGTATCCTCATTTCCATATGGGTAGAAAATTCCTATAATCGTAAAGGAACATCATAAATAACCTGCAATATTAAAGGTGCAGTAAGCGATTACTGAGAAACACTGATATTTGAAAGAAGCACACCGGGGTGCGATTCCCATAAAATAATTCGCTGGTTATCTACCATAGCACTATGCATTGTTGTAGATACTAAGGGCAAGCTCACACTAAAACACTGTAAGACTACCTAGATGGATGTGGTGCTCGCACTATACAAGGTTTCTTGTCATCTTTTGTTATCATGTCATAGCAGCGTGTATACTACATAACACAACACCGATGAGGTTCACAAACTACAAGACATTTGGTCAAGAGGCAGTCCTGACCAACAGCGAAAAACATTTTCTCTCATAAATTCACATGAGAAATTCACGCAAGTGATTACAAGAATTTCCACTTATAGCATCTGCACTGTAATTGGCTGGATTAGTTCCACCTTCTCACTGCATTGCACACACTACAAGATCATGTGGCGATGTCTGAAAATATCACAGGGTCTGTGACTGCTCAATACAAGCTCAGATCACATCGATGACCAGCTCATACTTAAAGAGCATTGGCGACCACAATGCTATCCGTAGGTTTTGTCGCAGACCTGGGAAATCTGTCTGCGACAGCAAAATCCAGCCAAAAGTAGTGTAGTGTGAGCTTACCTTAACTAGCTAGTCTCGTTTCCTGAACCATGTTAACCATGTTTCCTGAACATGGTTGCATCTCTGTCGTCTGAACCACACTGGTTTAACAATATAGGGCTGCCGTTAATGACGTCACATGCATGTTGTAATCAGTTATGCTAATTAATTGTTTCGAGATCTCCGAGATGTTGCTTTTAATGAACATGGCACCTGATGACTACTTCACTTTTTTTTTTTTTTTTGCTGTTATGTTGCCTTATCTGATGTTTGATACTGGGGTTGCTTTGCGGATTTATGCACATCATGCACACTCTTCAAAAAAAGAGCTGACTGTTGACATGCTAAAATGTATATGTATTATGTAAATGTATTAATTTGCTGCTTAACCACCATAGTACAATGCATCACTGTAGAAACTAACTAGTCAGTCACGACTGTTTGCCAAACATGGTCGCTACATTTGTTCAAATATATCCACCTTATTTTTCAACGTGGAAGTAAGCCTATGGGCGAGACTTCTGGTTCTTTAGCCGCTATAGGGAAATAATGAGATGAATAACAATGTGCAGTAAATGGTAAAACTGTTTGCACTACAAACCAGTGTGTTCATAATTAGATAAATAATAAAGACAACCAATTTACAATATCAAGCAGCAAAACGAGCTGTTTCGTACAGCTAAGAATAGCTGGAAGCGGATGAGACCGAAAGCCAGACCCATAAAATTTACAAATGGCCGCGCCCGTTCTTACGGGAAAAATAAGGTGGATAGGTCTGTCGTTAATGGCATCATGCGCAGGTGGTGGAGTAATAACTTCTGCTAATTCATCAGTTTGAGATCGTCGAGATGCTGCTGTAATGAAAATAACAGCTGATGACTACTTCATTATTTATTTTTGTTCTTTGTCATTTTGCTTTATTTGATGTTTGATTCATTGTGGGTTCCCTCTGACATCATATGCATTTATGCACATGCGTACTTTTAAAAAATGGTGCTTACTGAGGACACACTAAAATATATAGATTGGGGGGCTTGGGGGTTTGGCTGGACATGCCAAGTAGTTAACGTCATGACTAGTACTTTGTTTTTACCATAAGATTGCGTAAACTGTTTATGTAACTGTTGCAATGCTGCAAAACACATAACTTTTCACCAACACAACAATAACAATGTACAGTGAGAGAATTGCAAGATTTAAACTACATATACAAATAATTGCAACCGACTAACTGACTAAGTTGAACGCAATGGCCGATCATTGGTGTTCAAGAAATCAACAGATATGTCTGTGATTGGCTACATTGCTCATCGTTACAAAAATAGAAAATTTTGATGCTCTCCAAAGTGCAAACACAAATAAGCACTGGAGCATTTACCAAATTAGTTTCACCAATATCCTATGACTACAGTTTCAACTAAGGGTGCTCTTGCTTTGTTTGAATGGTGCATTTCACTGTGTGAGAAAATGTACATGTGGCGTAAGAGCTTGAAAACAGTGTCAATTGCGTGAGTCAACTGCGAGAGCTGGCAGCCCTGTCAGATTTGATCTGGGGGGTATTCCAGAAAGCAGGTTATGTGACATACCTGAGTATGTTTAAGGGTAAGTAATATTAATTATAAAGCACTATTATAACAAGGTTTGTTTTATTCTAATATGTTTATTATATTTATTTTATTATTTTATTGTCATGTCACACATGGATCTGCATTCAAACATTTTTTTTTTATTTTTGCAACAGGATGTTTTTTATAATGTATTTCTATAATAAAAATACATTATGATATGTCTTATTATAAAATCAGTGTCACGGTTTTGTTGTGTTCATGTCATCTGTGACTCCTGTGTCTTGATTTGATTTGTTTCACCTGCCCTTCATCAATTAAGCCCTTACCTGATGTGTATTTATGCTGCGTTCAAGTCCTCCTGGGACGTTCGTACTTACGAGTTGACAAGTCGTAATTACGACATCAGGTGCGTTCAAGTCAGTTTAGTCGGCACAAGATGGCGGTGTACCTTCTTTTAATAAATTACAAGAAAATACAACAACGGTCTGTTAATTAGCGTTTTTAATATTTTTAAAAAGTAATTTATGAAGCCACTTTAATCTGTATCGCATAAAAACTTGTTATTAATTGTTATATTACAATCCTGCCACATTCAAAAAGCTTATTTTTTGTAAATAAAAAGCCTGACAATGTCACTGCTTAATACCTATAAGTATTGTGATTTATGTTTTACTTTGGCAATCTCTCAGTCTCCCTCTGTCAGACATGCAGTTCTTCCGTCAACTACAGACGTTGCATCCATCGATTCCGCCATGTTTCTCATTGACACTCCCCCAACTCGGAAACTCGGGGCTTAAAATTTTTTTCGAGTTTCCCACTCGTAATAACGACTTTGTGGTGGCGTTCATGTGCGTTCAACTCGTCAATACGATCTATCCGACATGACTTGAACGCACCATTAGGCCCCGTCCACACGGAGACACGTTTAGCTGTATACGCATACATTTTGTATCATATAGGCGTTTTGTCCAGACGGATCCGGCGTTTTGGGAGAGTGAAACCGCTATTTTTTTAAAACCGGGTCCCAGAGTGGATAAATCTGCGTGTCGCCCCTAGTCCGACACTGCTACATCACGTAACAGCAACAAAAACATGAACAAACACTGAACGATTGTCATTGACGAACTAGCATTAACACAGATTCATAAATGTATTGTTCCATGTTCGTTTGTAATAGGCAAGGTTTATACGTATAGTCCAAGTCTTCTTCTCCGTATTTAGTGTATCTCTGTGGCAGAATTACAGCGCCACATACTGGTCTGGCATGTATACTACATCGTTTTGTGTCGGTTTCATGGTTTCGTGTGGACGCAGATATTTCTTGAGACGAGGGAAAAAAAAAGATCGGATAGGGAAAGCTCTGGCTTCGTGTGGATGTAGCCTTATTCTGCCCTCTTGTCTCTGTCTGATGTATGGTCTCGTCAGTTTGTGCTAGCGTGTTTGTGTAGATTTTGCCCTGTTATTTGGATAATTAAAAGATATTTAACTCTTCTTCATCATCTTGTGTGTTAACCTTGAACATACTCTGAGTTGACTGAACTTACAACTCAGAAGTGTTTTAGGAACCAGCATACCTCAAGTAAGCAAGGTTTGGGTTAATCAACCGAGAGCTCAGGATATATGTGACGGTAAGTTAACCTTGCTTTCTGGAATACACCCCCGGATGTGGTTCGTGTTTTGAAAAGTCACTGTATGCTATCAAACAGAGTCAAAGGATTACCTTCCTGAGGTCCACCATCAACACGGAATGCCCAGCGTCCCGACACACTGACATTGCTGGAGTTGAAGAGCTTAGTTTCATCAAGCACAGGGATGGAAAAGTGATTTGTTGAGTTGACTGTGCCATAGCCAGCCTAAGAAAACACAAATCAATAATAAAGGCTTTGCAGCACATAATATTTACAAGTTCTCTAATAGTTCCAAAGTTCAGAAATATGATTCTCATTCTTTCTGACCTGAAACCGATGATCCGTAGAGGAGATATTTCCATAGTTCATCATGACAAAAGACAGAGAGCCACCAGAGACCAAAACAACTTGATAAGATGAACTCTGTTACAGAAACAAAAAATGATCTTTAATAGACAGAGAATAATTCCGTATTTATGCTTAATTCTGCACTGCTATAATAAAACGCAGATCATCCTCATACTTAATGTGCTTTAATAATCATAAACGGCTTTCCTCTTTCTTTTACCCAAATTACCTGCAGTCACATTAGTGAAATTTCAGCACAATTTTGTCTGGCAAAAAAAGGTCTACCATCTATTGTCAAAAGTGTAGCGATATAAAGCACAGCTCAAAAATAAAAAATTATGGGAATGGGAAGGATCCAATGATTGATCTTGAAAAATGTAGTCAACATGCAATTTGTGTAAAAGTTAAAAAAATATATTTTTTTGTTATAAGTATTGTTGTTGAGATAATGAACTGTGAAAAATTAAATATAAATTTAATGTATGTATATGTACTTAAATAGATTATTCACATCAATCTGAAGAAAAGTATTGCAGAAAATTCCCAACTCCAAGTTTGCAAAGCTTGTTGCATCACACCTAATGCAGTCCGATCTCATGAGAATTTGTACATATTTTATGTAAAATGTGGTTCTACAAAACGTACTTTTACTTTGGCACTAAAACATACAATACTGACATATTTACAGCATCTAAACGTACAATATATTAACAACACCTAAAACGTAAATTATTTCTGTATGAACAACATTACACACTTACAAATTAATCCTTATGAATACTGCAATCATTGTATTCGGTTCTCATACCAATGGCACTATGTTTTCAACTGAATTTATTATACGAAGTTTATTAATTTACTTAATATGAAATTATAAAATTTCATTCTGTTGTGTGATTTCTGCAGCCAACTCGTTTTGAAGATTACACAATGTTAAACAAGACTACACTTTAAACCCTTAAATTGAATAATATTCTGCAATTGTTTAACCATTACTTATCATGTAATAATTACATGTTCTGGGAAACTGCTTTGTTTATCTGCCGTACTGGGAGGATCACGCTGCCTTTCCGCTATTGAGTTTAGGGCAGTATTTAGATTTTCTGTCGTGATTGTGAAAAATGTCACCATTGAATGTCATTCATGCTGCATCAAGTATTGCAATAGTAACTCAGATCGTCTTTCTGAGAGAAACTGGACAATGCAAAAAAATTTTTCGCTTTTTCTACATGTAAAAACACCAAGGGAAGCAGGTCGTGAAGATGGCGGGAATATGCCGGATAGTAAATCTATTAATAATGTCACTGATTAAACCCACTGCCTATCGCTCAATAAAATAATCACATTGCTGGGTGTTTTTGAAAGTTTTGATTTTGTTTGGTTTAACAACAATACCTTTGTGAGCATGACTCTCACTTGGCTTGCGAATTATCCAGGCACGGCTTGTCTGTAAGGGCAAAATATTCACCCAAAACATAGACCTTTATATAAACTGAATAAATAATAAACTGTAAATGTGTTCAGCATTCTGCAACAAATATTTTTTCGAATTTTCTTGACAATTTTAAGTCATAAAGTGCGCAGTATATATTAAAATTCATCGCAAGCTTCGGCAGGCCAATGATACTAATGCCTAGTTCACACTACAGGATTTTATACCCGATTTGCAAGTTAACGAGCTCGCCGACAGGTCGGGCTGTGATCGAGGGAAAATCAACGCTCAACGCTTTGCAATCTTTATGTGTGAACTACTCAATGATGCATCAAGGAGGCTTGCTGACACGTCGCCGACGCCAAACAAATATCTAGCATGCTAAATATCTGGACCGGTCGGCCGACTCGACATCACGTGGTGTCAGGGGTCGTGACGAGCTACAGCCAATGAAAGAGCAAGCATGGGTTGAGGTCAGTGGAAGAAAAACAGCAGCAGTAACACGGCTTTAAGGAAAGTTTGGATACAAGAAATGGAGCGAATTTTTTCAATGCGCAAACAGCTTGCAGCACTAATTTCTTCCCGATGTTCATTTTCAAATAAACAACTCCTGTTTCACTTGTTGTTTCGTGTCATTCCTGTTACACTTCTCATGTGTGTTTTCGTAACAAAACGTGGTTTAGGGTCCGTGTAGAGTCGTTGGGTGACAGAGTTGTGTTTGACCCCCTGTTGTGGATCATTTACGTAGTGTCGCATAGTGTGAACACCACAACGACTTCAAGACAGCCATGAAGTCATGTAGTCTGAACAGCACAGCGATCTGCCGATGTTTTAAGTCGTGTAGTGTGAACTACTGTAGGCTTAAGTGGGGCAGTCGTGCCGGTGTCCTCCCGAACTCAACAGCGCCCCACAAATTTTACAATGTAAATCTGTCGTGAAAAGTGCAACTGCAGCACGCTCTAGTTGAGAGCCATTTGGGCAGTTTTGAGACTGCCCCACCCACAGGCTGAATAACGCAAGGACATTAGATCTCTGCCAAAAGTGTGTGTGCATGTGTTAAACTATAAAGACTACACGCTTTCTTGAGTTTAGTATAAACTAGCACTACGACCCAGAATCTGCACCACCTAAATTTACAGTCAGGAGCCGCTATTGGAATTAGCAGAACTTGAACAGGGACATTCTAAAATGCTTAACACGAATAATGCTTAATGTGGCTTAATGTACCAAGACAGTGATAAAGACAAAACTGTAAAGCATGCTATGTGTAGATATGCATATAAGCCCAAAATGTGAATGCAAAGCGTTTATTCACTGTGACGAGTGGGGCGGGGCCAAGAGCTCCAAGGCCGGTGGAGTTAATGATAATGAGCGACATCTGCGCCATATAAAGAATGAGAATGTGACGTAACGCCGCGTTGAGTTCTGGGAAACTGCTTTGTTTATCCGCCATACTTGCAGGATAGCGCTGGCTTTCCGCTATTGAGTTTAGGGCAGTATTTGATTGTTTGTCGTGATTGTGAAAAATGTCACTAGTGTATATCATTCATACTGCATCGATAATTGCAACAGTAACTCAGATCATCGTTCTGAGAGAAAACTGGACAATGCAATATGTTTTTTTGCCTTTTCTATGTGTAAAAACTCCAAGGGAAGGAGGTCGCGGAGAAGACGCCGAATAGTAAATCTGTTAATGTCACTGATTAAACCCACTGACTCTCACTCAATAAAAGAATCACATTGCTGTGTGTTTTTGAAAGTTTTGATTTGGTTGGTTTAATAGTTAACATTACCTTCATTGCGAGCATGACTCTCACTACTAGGCTTGTGGATTAGCAGAACTTGAACAGGGGACTTTCTAAAATGCTTAAAGTGGCTTAATGTACCAAGACAGTGATAAAGACAAAACTGTAAAGCATGCTATGTGTAGATATGCATATAAGCCCAAAATGTGAATGCAAAGCGTTTATTCACTGTGACGAGTGGGGCGGGGCCAAGAGCTCCAAGGCCGGTGGAGTTAATGATAATGAGCGACATCTGCGCCACTCACCGGTCTCGAGTCCCATGGAGGAGCTCCGGAAGGATAAAAGGAGGAGTGACGACAGTTGAGGAGGAGAGAGGACCAGGCCTGAATTTTATGTTGTTGTTTTATGCGGCAGTCGTGAGGGGCTGCCGCTTTTACTTTCATTATGTGTTTATTTATTTATTAAAGTTTTATGTTTAAATGTTCGCTGGTTCCCGCCTCCTCCTTCCCTATCTACGAACTTTTGTTACACTGGTGCCGAAACCCGGGAGGAAAGAGGGACATGCTGTCAGAGAGCCCTCGCTGCTGAGGGGGATGGTGGTGCTGAGGAGATTGGGCAGCAGGAAGAAGCGGAGACCGCCTGTGGCTGCCCGAGGCGGTGGTGCTGGAACAATGGAAGACAAGGTGGGACGGAGGGCTCGCTACCATGCTCCTGGGTCGAGGAGGGGTGGCTGCCGTCCGAGAGGGAGCGGAGGAGTCGGCGCCGTTTGCCAAGAGGCCAGAGCCTGCTGCCGTATGCCATGTTAGTGGAGGAGCAGGGAATCTGGGACTCGCTGTCGGCTGCCCTCAACCGGAGCAGCCATTGCAGTCCGCCAGGAGGCGGAGGAGCGTCGGGCCACCCACCAAAGATGTTCAGTACCATCGCATGGCACCGTGAGTGAAAGCCTCTTAGCTGGTTGATGACCAAGCGGCAGTGTGTCCAGGAACCGGACCGAGAATTTTTTTTCTTTTCCTCTCTCCCCTCTCTCGTCTCTGTCTCTCCTCATCCTTCCGTCTCCTTTTCTCTCGCCTCGTCTGTCTGTCCTTACCCCCAGGTACGCCGCAGCCGCCATGATCGGCTCCCCCCAGAGAGGGGCGGGGGGGGAGTAGAGCGTAGTCTCGGGAGTACCCCCGGTCTGCGATGGGCGATGGGGGTATGTGACGAGTGCGGCGGGGCTGAGAGCCTTGGGAACGGAGCGAGGCCGGTGGAGTTATTGATAATGAGCGACACCTGCGTCCCTCACAGGTCTCGAGTCCCACGGATGAGCTCCGGAAGGATAAAAGGAGGAGTAACGACAGTGAAGGATGAGAGAGGACCAGGCCTGGACTATTTATGTTGTTGTTTTATTATGTTTTATGTGGCAGTCGTCCGTGAGGGGCTGCCACTTTTACTTTCGTTTTGTGTTTATTTATTTATTAAAGTCTTCTGTGTAAATGTTCGCCGGTTCATGCCTCCTTCTTCCCGGTCTACGAACTTTGTTACATTCGCACTTTAAGCATTTTCCTTTCAAATAAAGAAAAAACTTAATGTACCGAAACAGTGACCACACTAATGTAAAACACTTAATGTACCGAGACCACATTCTGTAGACACCTTACTAATAGAGCATATGTATGTGTACATATGTGCAGGAAAACAGATGAGCAAAATATGAACGTTCAATATCACTGTCTTAATCCATAAGAGAGGTGGTAGTGCTTCTGGGCCTTTCGTCCATTATGTATTTGGCAGGTCGTACGGGTCAGTGTTGTTGATGTCAAGCAGTTTCTCTAAATAAGCAGTTTCTTGGCTGTGTTATTTAGTCTCTCCCAATAGAGCCCCTTTCCTTTTGCTTTCTCCTTTTCAATTTCTTCCCAAGAAACTGCGGCGTATCGCAAAAATGCTAACAAATATCAAGCTGCTGTATCAAGCTCTGTTGCTCTTTCTCTCTGTCTCACTGTATCCTGCTAATATGGTGATGCCTTCCCGAAATGCAATGCGGAGTGAAAACATTGTGACGTAACTCCTAATGGATCGTTTTCAGAAGACTGTGATGACGCTTTTCAACGGTCATCAGCATCATAAATCCTCCAAAGTTTCTTGTATTTTCATTTTTTAAAAAATGTATGTACATTTATAACACTATACTTTATATTATATTACATCTGCATCAAATTACAAAAAACTAGTTAATGCTAATGCGAGGGTGTTTCTAATACACCTATGGGAGTGACGTAAATTTGATTCATTCTCTCTACTGATTGCCGTTATCAGTCTCTCTATTTTTTTGAAAGTCATGAATACACTATCATGGAGTTTTTCTTTTGCTATTTGAGCAAATGGGAATGCAAAATGTGACCCTGGACCACAAAACCAGTCTTAAGTCGCTGGGGTATATTTGTAGCAATAGCCAAAAATACATTGTATGGGTCAAAATTATTTATTTATCTTTTATGCCAAAAATCATTAGGATATTAAGTAAAGATCATGTTCCATGAAGATATTTTGTAAATTTCCTACTGTAAATACATTAAAACTACATTTTTGATTAGTAATATGCATTGCTAAGAACTTAATTTGGACAACTTTAAAGGCGATTTTCTCAATATTTTGATTTTTTTTTCACCCTCAGATTCCAGATATTCAAATAGTTGTATCTCAAAATATTGTCCTATCCTAACAAACCATATATCAATGGAACGCTTATTTATTCAGCTTTCAGATTATGTATAAATCTGAATTTCGAAAAATGTACCCTTATGACTGGTTTTGTGATCCAGGGTCACATTTGTGGTAGTCTCCCATTTACTGCTATAGAAGTTTATCCAACTATGATGACTTCTGCTGCTGATAAATGGTTTTTGGTGAGGTGTGTTTGAATGAGAAATGCGCGCCTTCACGGAGTGGATCGGGATAACAATCTGTTATTGTCATCCCGGCTATAAGGTAGGAGTGAGATTTTTAATGCACTTTTTTTGCTAAAGTGGTCATTTCCCTGCATATTTTGGTCTATCATGACATTTTATATATTTTTATTATATTTGCTATAAAATGAGTAGGTTTAGGTTTGGAGGTAGGTTAAGGGGTCTAAAAATCTAAATCGTTTATCGATAAAATGATAAAAATGCATTAATACAAATATCTTAATGATATTAAAGATTCAAATATTTGTACGTTTTTTTAGCTGTAAATACGTAGCAATTTTACATTTTAAACGTAATACATGTCTGCATCAATCAAAACATACAAAAATTTACAAGAATGTTTTTTTCCTTGTATTCCTTGTAGACATTACATACTGTACCTACCGTACTGTACGTGTAAACAATGAGACCAGGCTGCCTAAAAACACTTGGGGCTGTAACTGCTGACAAAGGTGATTCAACTAAATGCTGAGTTAGTGATTTGAATACTTATATCAGTGTGATATTTCAGTTTGTTCTTGTTAATAAATTTAAAAGTTATAATTAATTAGGTTTTTGCTTTATCGTTATGGTGAATGGAGTGAATTCTGAATACTTTGAATGCACTGTACATAAACACAAACACACACACAGTACATACACAGAATTAATGAAGACAAGTCTCTTACATAAGTCTTTCGATAAACACGTCCAAAATATACGAAGGGCTTTTCCAGTAATATTACTGGAGAGCTTCCATCATCTTCAGAGGGATTCTTTATGTCTTCATTTCCAAATGGGTAGAAAAGGTCTGAAAATATAAAATAGAGGGGAAAAAACTACAGTGATCTAAAACATAATGTATTGATTATGTAACAATTGTTGTTACATGTCACTTTGTTTGACAGCATATCCATAGACCTGATGCATACTGCACTCAAAAATGGCGTGAACTGGCTGAAATTTAAAATGTACAATTTCAGTCTGTTAAGTCATACCTTAGGTATTCAGGGACTACAGATGCAAATTAGCTATCTAGCTAACTCTGGCACAACATTTGTGTTGTCCATGGTACCTGTTAACCCTTGTGTGGTGTTCATATTTTTGTTATTCAGCCAGTGTTCGTGGGTCTGGTGGACCCGCTGCATTTTTGGGTTTTTAATTCAGCAAATTCAAAATTTTATGTTAAAATACTCAATTTATTACAAGCAATATAAACAGCACATATGGTTAATATTTGCCATTTACCTTTGTTAAAGCACATTTATGAATTAAAGTGCTGCAACCCTGTGCAGAAATGGCAGGGGCAGAAACACAAAACTCACACTTACATTCACACTCTTACAGACTCTCTCTCACACACACCCACACACACACACACACACACACACACATACTAATAGCAGGCCCAGACAGGAGGAGGACAGAGTGAAGGTACACAGGACCTACAAACTCCACACTTTTATTAGCCCCGGGTCCAGTGGATCCGATGTGTACATTAATTAGGAAAAAAAATTAACTTAAATGATTTTAGCAAATGGCTGCAATATAACAAAGAGTGAAAAATTTAAGGGGGTCTGAATACTTTCCGTACCCACTGTAAATGTGTGTGTGTGTGTGTGTGAGAGTGGGGGGGTGGTGGCGTGTACAGTGTGTGGTCATTGAAAATTTGCTCTGATATGTGTTCTTCACAGAAAATGAGCCAAGGCCAATGAGTCTGAGTTTGAAAAAATAATGAATCATATTTTTCTTTTGATAAAAAATTAAAACGGGTCCCACAGATCCGAACACCATACAAGGGTTAAATAAATGAAATGAAATAAACTAAACTACTACAACAACTACCTTACTTACTATCAATATGCAGAAATTAGGAGATTATTAGGGAAAACTATTTTAGTTAGTTAAAAGTGAATATGTGTTCCATAATCGAAAGTGTTATATAATTAGGGATGCACCGAAATGAAAATTCTGGGCCGAAACTGAAAATTCTGGACGCACTTGCTTTGTAATCATTATTTATTATTGTGTTAAATAATATATGTAATCTAAAAGTAATTTTGTAAGACTTTTTAAACTCAATTTAATTCAATCATTTTAATCATACTAAATTTAAACACACAAGCCAATAAAATAACCACACTTTTATTGAAAGTAACACAATAAAATTGGACAGAAAATATATTAATATTAAATATCAATATATTATTTTTATTCAGGTGTACGCAACATAATCAGATATAACTTTTTTTTTTGACTAATCCAAAAATTATCCAAATAATGTATAGTCCTAAACTATTATTGTCACAGCATGTGAGCAGAGCATATAGCAGGGAACAGTCAGGTCAGTGAACGAGAGGGTAGCGTCATTTTACCAGTGTTGCCATGTTACAGTACAGTAGCGCTACTGCAAACAGGAACAAGTATACTACATAGAAATGTCTTGTCGGGGCGTTATTTGAGCAGACTTTGTTTTTCCGGTGAGCATGAGCGGTACATGAGCAGAACATAAGTTATGACTATAACTATGGATCTATGAGACCGAATGATGACCGTCACCACGGTCTTACCTTGAATGACGCCATTCTGTTACCCTTCCGAGACCTAATGTAAACAAAGTCAGGTGACTGACCCTGGGTTCACTATAAAACATCCAGGTGAACAAAGCACTTACTCTTGCCTGAAACGCCTCAGTTCATCCCGAGTGACAAGAGATGCTGACGGTCATCATTCGGTCTCATAGATCCATAGTTATAGTCATAACTTACGATCTATTTCGACCTCACTCAGACCATCACCACAGTCTTATATTGGATGACTAGTACCATCAACGTCACGAGGGGTGAGAAGCCTCTCATTCCCCACATCCCTGCTTAGAAGCTGTCCATAGAACTGCAGACCAAAAACGAAACTGGTTCTGCCACATTGACCCTGTAATACCGGGCAAAGATACAAGGTGAACTCCATGAGACTGCTGCACATATATCTGTAAGTGCCACACCTTTCAGTGCTGCCCATGATGTGGCTAGACTCCTAGTAGAATGAGCCACCAGGTTCCCTGGAACTGGTAAGCTCTGGGTGGAGTATGCTTGTGCAATAGTGTCCACTATCCAGTGTGAGAGACGCTGCTTCGAGATTGGTCGTCCAATGCTTTTTTTATCAAAACACAGAAACAACTGAGTATGTGACTGTCGCAAACCCTGTGTGCACTCAATGTATGTGCGGAAAGCTCTTACTGGGCACAGACTAGAAAGGTCAAGACCTGTAGATAAGGAATCTGAGTCAGGTTTAAAGGCTGCAAGTTCAGCAACTGCCTGATTGATTGTGCAAGGATTGAGAATCTTGGGAAGAA